TGAAAAGATGCTGAATCTTTGAAGTAATAAACGAGAAGTGTCCTTAAAAGATAATAATCCACGAAAATAGAAGTATTCATATATTCATTTATTATTTCAATGACAATGGAAACGATTCACAGAAGAACGAGGTATACGCATTTCACTGCTTCCCTACCCACAGTATGAAAAATTCTTTAAAAAAGGTCTACTTTAATTAAGAGACAGAAGAACGCATACTAAGCCTTATTAAGGGTGACGGAGAATTATACAGGGTGTCCCAAAATGAACAAATGTTCTCATGTCTCTTCCCCTGCGTTATTTTTGATAACATAAGTATATAAACGAATATCTTTTCAGGATATTTGATTGAAACAGATGCCATGACATTTTCATTGACTACGAAAAAATACAGTAAAAGGAAAACAAATTGAATTTGTTGTACACTTCAAAATCCGTGAAAATGAAATAACGCAATCGAGAGCAAATAAACAAGGATTGTTGATTTAACAGTGGGCGAAGATGATGAACAAAAAGATCAATTTAAAAATGAGAAAGAAACGACTTGAGCGTTCGAAAGACAATTTCCGGTCAAACAAAAAGTTAGGTGAAGGAAAATCATAATTCCATCAAAAATCACTTAATACTCCAAGTACTATTTTTAGAAATCACATCAGGAAAATAAATATAAAGAAATGCTAACTCACACACGAAAAAACTAGACGATGATGGACTTAGAAACTGCATATAGGGACATTATACGTAATGTTGACAACCAGAACGGAAAAGTAGTATTTCGATGACATTGAGTATAGGTATATACTAGCTTATATACACCGAACAGCATAACCTAGGGGTTTAAACTATTGCTTAGCATGCGGGAGAACACCGGTTTAATTCCGGGCCCGGCTTCCTTGGTAAGTTCTTCTGTAGTTTCCTTGGATTAATTGGGCAAATACTGGGGCAGTAATATTATCTCACAGATGATTCTTTACTCTCTTCTGTCTTCATTTCGTCCATCTCATCTTTTTCACCCCAATAACCACCCACTCATTCCTATGATTCTTAAAACGAGGCTGATGTAGTAGCTAGCGACAATAAAACACTCAAAAGTTTTTACTAGCTTATACGCTAGACAATAATTTTCAGTCTCTCTCCAGTCTCTCAGAGTCTCCCAAAGTCTTTCAGCGTCTCTGAGAGCGTCTCTCGCAGTCTTTCACAGTCTCTCAGTTATTGCCTAGGTGTTTTTATGGATCTCTCAGTCTTTCACAGTCTCTCAGTTATTGCCTAGGTGTTTTTATGGATCTCTCAGTCTTTCACAGTCTCTCAGTTATTGCCTAGGTGTTTTTGTGGATCTCTCACAGTCTCTGTATGAGAGACTCGAACGATAAAATTGTTAATTCAGAGATTCGAGTCTCTCACAGAGAGACTGAATGAATATAACTGAAAAATTGAGAGACTCGAGTCTCTCGTAAAAAGGCTGGGATCTCTGAAATATGCTGAACTTAGAAAATTTTAACCATGTCTATCGAGACACCACTTATTGAGAGATTCGAGTCTCTCGTTCAAAGATTCGAATCTCTCGTTCAGAGACTGGATAAAAAATGAGGATCTCTCAATGAGCGACTTGAGTCTCTCGTTTAGAGACGCTAAACAGTTTTTTTGACAGTCTCTCTCAGTGACACCAGAGAGACGGAGACTCGAGTCTCGCTTTCAGAGACTCTGAGAGACTGAACATTTTTATCTCGGGTAATTAGGGGTATCTATCTTTGTACAACCAATATGTATGCATCCATCTAACCACTAATGGTGAGAAACACTTTAATTTTATTCATAAAGATTTTCCTAGCGAATTAGTTTGAAAGTGACTATTGCTGCTGGATTTATTTTTGTAAATTTTTATTAGTCGTCCTTGAATTAGGCATCAGAATATATATAGAGTAAGTAAAAAGAGACGAATTAGACCAAGAAGAGAAGAAAGACAGCGCAACAGCAATTTTTACGAAAAAGTTCGAACAAAGCCATTTTATCTTTCTTACACGTTGATAGATAAAAGTTCTTAAAGTATGAAGATTAAATCTTTCCGCGCTGAGTTGCCTGTAAAATTCGACGCTTCCTCGCCTCGTCTCCCACCGGGATCTAAATGGTTTCAACCGGATAAGGAAAAATCCATGGAATACCGCTACTGTTGTAAATTTTAAATTAGACCATCAAAACTAGAAAATTCCGGGACACTACTCAATTAAATTCTATGCCATAACGGACGCAACTGGAGCGGACCAAAGATGCAAATATTTTAATTATGTGAAACTCGAGCATAAATTTCATTTTAACTTTTTATTAACTTCCTAAACAGTCTAGCACAATTAATATCAAGATGGCAGTATAAATGAGTTATCATTTAACATTTTCAAAGGAACTTTAATTTTGCAGTCGTCGTTTATTCAAAAATTATAATAATGCAGTAGCAACAAAAGCGAACAGATTTTATCACGAACTGAATATAGTACCAAGAATGGCACGTAATAAGGCATAATACATAACTTAATATAAAATATTAAGTAAAAGTATTGTGCATAGGCTTATTCAGGGTGTAAAAGAAATAAGTACCGAGCTTTGAAGGGTGTAAACTAGATGCAATAAACAATTGAATGGCGAATTCAGCAGCGTCGTCAGGCAAAAATCGTTTTTAAGGTAATTATAATAATTTACAATTCGAAGCCGGTCCTGTATGTGAATTGCCAACATATGTGACTATTGAGCGAAATGTAATAAAAAATACTACACCTACATGGATAGATAATGTAAACATTGCCGATTATCGAATGTNTTTAAAGAATGTAAACATTACCGATAATCAAACGTCTAAGATAAACATAAACAGTTTAGAAATTTTATAGACAAGGCTATGAAAAAGAAAAAAAAAAGATGTAAGTTACGTAAACATTAGTCGGTAAATAAGCATCATCTACATAATAAGGTAAATAGTGATTATTAGGAATTCAAAATTCTATGAAGTAAAACAACACCTTATAGAAAAAATTAGTTTGCAGCTGAAAATCAGTTTCAAGCAACGCCTGCACTCTCTGCAAGTGATAAGGATGCAGCATCTGTTCCTTTAAATTTTTCTATACTGTCACATCAGAGAGGCCAATGTTCTCTGCTATTTCACATGTACTACTTTTGGGATTGTCTCCTTTGAAGTTCAGGAATTCATCCCTACAGCAGCGATAACTTTCAAACCCATAAACGTGGATCATGCCACATTTTAATATTATAACAGCGACTGGCCTACACTAATAATTGATCTTGTATTGCTGAATTATTTATATTATGGTTAACTGTACATCGAGTACCTCATACAAGGTTTGAATGTTGAGAGAATAAACGACTACTAGAGGTTGGCTGTTAACAAGAAAGTACAAAACAATTACTACACTGATGCTGACAATAATACCCTGATTGAGTGCAGCGTTGCAGGTCGTACGTCTTTAGCAGGGCCGGAATTGAATTTATCTGCACCTTCAATCACGTTCTTTTCGAAAACGGTGAACTTTTGGACATACAAATGTTTACTTAATTTTCATTTTTCGTCGTGCTCTATCACCTCCTGCAAGCTTAGCACTTTTCACTATTACACTCTATATATTAATGGTATGGGCATGACACTAAGTGCACGCAAAAAGATCGCGATGCGAAGAGCATGACGCTAACAGCATAGACGTGTCAAATGTACACTTGACATCCATATAAATGACCACGACCTTTTCATCAACATCATCATAAGGTCGTCAGTCTTAAGACTGGTTGGACACGCATCTCCATCCTTTCCTATACTGAACTAATCATTGCATTTCCCTAAAACTAGAACGTCCAACATCCTTAAATATTTTCGAACATTAATCTAATCTATCCCTCCTAACTCTCGTTGCTGACTTTAATATGGCTCTGACTAGAAACTAGACCTTCATGCCTGAGAAGGTGTCCTACCGACCTATCTCGCCTATTTCTCATTGACTTCCATAGAGTCCTCTGTTCTCTTATTCGTTCTAATATCTCCTCATTTTTAACCTTCTCTATCAACGGTATTCTCATCATTCGTTTGTAACACCACATTTCGAAAGCTTCTAATCTTTTCTTTTCCACCGCGCCCACCATCCATCTTTCGCACCCGTACAGCGCCGCACTTCAAACATACATCTTTGACAATCTTTTTCGAATTTCTAAATTAACCGTTCGCGAGCACATCCTCTGCTTTATATCCCTCCTACTCCTTCCGTCCTGACTTATCTGACTTCCTAGATACCTAAAATAAGCCACTTCTTCTAATTAAGCATACGAAAATGTTTAGCGTTGTCCGCTTTTAGTTCGTCTCCCAAAGTTTGAAACTGAGATTTGTTACCAATTTTCATTATCCCGAAGTGAGAAGCTGCTTCGTTAATTGTATCATAAAATTAGATAGTTTGGAGAACGTCTGTCACACAACGTTAGAGGCAGATAGAAGTGATTGTAAGTTATTTCCAGTTTGTATTGCTCTTTTAAGCTTGAAATCACTTTTCACAACACGGAATGTTACTTTGTCTGCTTATCATAATTAGCGTAAAATCCAATTCAGCTGGGTTTGCAAAATTTGCATGTTATTATGTCACTAAAGTTAGTTTGCTTTTCTCATTTAAAATGGGAGGTACGATACAGCGAAATTCAACTATGCTTACTTAATTCATTTTCTTTTTCTTAAACTATCTCCTTGTTAACATTTGAGCTAGATTAGAACTGAATTTGTTGTACAAACCTTATCTAGTAATTGCATGTAATGCATAATAAAATATTTGAGTGCATGCCACTAAAGGATAGAATCAATTCCTTATATCTGCACAGTTCTATTACAATCAGATAGTTAATTCAATATGTTAATGTAGCATTCCTTCAATTTAGTTTAGTAAAATTTGCTAATAAGAAATGAAAACGACGAAAGTTAATCATAAATTATTGCTTTATAATAAAATAAATAAACTACTCACTTGTTTCCTCGAAAATGTTTCATGGCCTTCCTGAAAACAAAAAAAAAATACTTTTAAGAAACCTTTAATAATGACTAATATTTATTATTAATGTGAAAATACTTTTAATTTTTATAAACTACAAATTAACCTCAAATTAATGAGAAAAAAATCGGTTATGTGTAAAGTCGGTTTACTGACGATAGTTTAACGTGACAATGTCATAAGAAAATACTGATGGAATGGTTTCATTTTTCAAAAGAAAATTTTAATTTTATTTGTTTGATAGATATTTTGTATGGATATAGAGAAGGAGGTAAATGGAAATGTATTATTGTATAGCAGCTGTCCACGCGGACGCATCGCTCACTC